TTAAACAATAGTTAAAGGCGATTAGAAATAAAACCAGAGTACGACTGTCAGTCGGAATGCAGTTGCTCAGGACGGGGCCCAGTCCAAAATTCCCTTGTGGTGCAACGTATTTTCCGGTTACTTAAAATCACGGTGTAGCGTCAGCCGTTAAGATGGAAGTATTACGTTCCTCCGAAACGGCGGTATCTACCTGCAACGTAAAAGATCACACCGATGGGCCAAAAATGTTTTCATCACGCAATTTCGTCAGTCTCCAGTCACTTCACCCAAGACAACTTCCTTACTATATCGTTCTCAATTAAGTTCTACGTAGGCCCTTCGGGAATTTTCCTGAACATAAAAGTATGAATGTCTGTATGGACTGTGTTCAGTAAGATACACTTCTACGCAGAAGTATGAGTACTTCGGCCACTGGCGGGTGGCTAACAAAACTGCTTAACTGAGCGATTAACGTTTATGGCCCTATACAACGGCCATTAGGAGCCTCTGCCAAGCCAGAAACTGACGCACAAAAGCGCCGCTCCGATACATACTGAATTTAAATTACTCGCTGAGAAGCCATTCTTATTTGTTTACTGCAGTTAGAGGTCAGTCAGTACAGCGACTGTCTGGGAAGATGAAAACTCATTAGGGGATTTCCCTCACCACCACCACCACCACCACCACCATGGACCTGCCGATAGAGCAGCCGAAACCTAAAGAATACCATTCACGGTGAGATTTCAGGTTCTCAAAGCGGCCTACTATAAATATGATCGCCCTAATGATGGAGGCAGCAAGGACCTCTGTAACGTAGGTAAACTTTTGTCAGACTACACGGCGCGATATCCCAGAAGACCAGAACACGACCATCTACAATATCACTCACTTTCGTCCAATATTGAGTTAAAAAGAAAAGGCGAAGTTTTATCTTTATGGGATCTTGTACTGACAGGGGTTTCCTTACATCTTACCGTGATCACAACTTCTTTTCAATATCTATACGTCAATAATTTAAGCTACTAAGAAGCCAGACGCTGCCTACTAGGATAGGTTTTCGATGTTTTCCTCATTCCTTACACGAAACTTTCGCGATGATATTCTAGAACAGCTTACAGCCGCGTCCTTCTACATAAAATTTTAATTTTGCGAACTTTCTAAATAAAACGAAGATGAATAATCTAGTCAGGACTACTGAGTTGATGAAAGCCGTTTAAATAAGCCAGGTATTAAAGAATAAAAACCTATTTAAATTCAGGTTTAAAACGAAGTAAACACAATATTTCTACTAACTTTAATTACTGTTAGTTATTAGGTCAGTTGTTAATTGACTCATCTGACATTTGTCCCCGATAAACGGAGGGACACACGCTTGTCTAAGATCAGCCCCTTAAAGCACAATGATGCCTTACGTGGCCTATAATTTCTTTTGCCATTCACTAACTCTGCATTCTGCCTTCAGAGTGTATTTTACGCTTCATATGACTCTTAGGATAAACATCGACTATTTCCCAACTGATCCTTGCAATGGAGAAGCGCTGTGTTTTCTTTGATGTAAGGACTGAATGTTTAAACATTTATTAGATGAGGTTAGGGCTTCAAACGTAAAGCTATACAATTATTTGTTGTTTCTTTTATTTCCTTATCATGAATTTCACTTCAAAGTCTATTATAATTTTCTGTAACCAATACATGTTCACCCCGAAGGCGGCATATGTAATGTTTGTCGTACCGGCTAACTTTCAACTTTCATTACACGCGGCCCAACCCCGAAAGCAGAGTCCTTACATTAAAATCCAACCGGGAAAAATATGTGAGGATATGAATTTACGACTGTTAGCTATGTACATTTTCATATTGCCCAAACAGAGCTGCAACAGGTATTGATCTTGCATTATTTATGGTTTGCTTCTATTACGCAGGCGTATTTATTTCTAATTAGCCAGGTGGATGAAAGATGTGGTACCATACAGAACCAGAGGTTATGTAGTTTTTGTCATTACTCCGAACCTGTACACCGAAAGGTAGAACACAATTCACTAAGTGCGGTCCATGAAAAATCGATATTATTCTCTTTTGGTTTACCTCACCAGGGCACCAAAAATTCTACCAAAAAACAGCTGTTGGATTCAGTGTCCTGTAAACACTCGATAGATTAGTAACTGCCAAAAAAATTCTTCTCGTGTCATTCCGTTTCACCTTGGTTCTGCTCTGAATTACTGATGTAAGGATGTTCTAATGATTTATCGTAACCATATGGATACCACTCTAAGATAATAAATAATTATATGCTAAAATATCGAGAAAAAAAAGTCAAAGGACACGATACTTCCTCTTTACATTTTCAAAGGCTAAGACAGATTTTAATATTATCCTATAATCTTAACAATTTTTCATCTTACTACTCTACAGAGAAACTTTCTGCAAAAAGAAAAATCTAGGTGTTTTTCTTGTCCGTACACGTTTAACTTCGGCTTTAGAGGGCGAATCGAGTCGAAAGATAATAATTATCAATGGTTTCGGTAAACATTAGTTACCACTTTCAGGGCGAATGCGTAGTGGTTCGACGTTTTTGGAAGCATTATATACGGCAGGCAGTACGTAGGGAGTTGGAGTTGATGCCGCTCAATTGTGGAGCAGAAGATCGGCCTCTATGACAACCAGAACTTTCGTCACCTCCTTTCTCAGAACGTGGTCCTAAAAAATTTGTTCGTCGCCTCTTGTCCTCAGCCTCATCGGACAGAAGCCGTCTTCCGCTCCACCAACCAGCACCATCAAATCCAACTCCCTGCTTACTGTCTGCCCCATACATTGCTTCCAAAAACGCACAACCACTACACGTTCGCCTTGAATATGCGGACTGCAACATCTGCTGAAACACGGTATAATTCTCAACATTCTACGCGGCTCACCCCCGAGTTACGTGTCCAGGGTGACGTTGACTTGACCATCCTAACGACACAGACTGAGCATCATAAACCACAAATTGGTCGTTATCTGGTATTCTCCTTCTCTCAAAAGAACATTTTTTTCGGTCTTGTCGAGTTAGTAGGCTGGCACACAATTCAGTAAACAGTAATCCGTCTCAACTTCATTGTAGAGTGTAGGTAGCAGAACGTACACAATCGATACCCTCCACTCAAAAACACACGGTACTTACGTGGGACGTTGAGAATCTAGTTTTAATATAACAGAGCCTCGCAGTATGATAAATGTCGTATAGGTTGGCGTATGAATGAAACCCCTCTTTTGTGCTGTTGACAATTCTTGTCAGAATCAGCTCCTCCACCATTCTTCTGTTGTGATTACCTGTGTACTGACAGCAGAAAAATAGTTTGCAACACCGAACAATGCCGCTAACGCGGTTTATAGTGGCATTTTACATATTTACCCCAACACGAGTAAAAAAGTATTCACCGTAAAAGAATATGCAAAACTTCATAATGCCTTTTTCCCCCAATTGTCTTCATGTCCATACATTCCAGATACAGATTCTAATTCTGACAAAGATAATAAACAATGGGCACAGTTCACTGAAAAATGTCTGTAGGGACTACCAACGCACCGCATTCACGAGCGATCGCCCTGATGACGGAGGCAGTAGGACCTCTGAAACGTTGGTAAACATGGACCAGACTACACAGCGCAACAACCCAGAAGACGGAAATCTTCATACTCTGATGACGGAGGCAGTATGACCTCTGAAACGTTGGTAAACATGGACCAGACTACACAGCGCAACAACCCAGAAGACGGAAATCTTCATACTCTGATGACGGAGGCAGTATGACCTCTGAAACGTTGGTAAACATGGACCAGACTACACAGCGCAACAACCCAGAAGACGGAAATCTTCATACTCTGATGACGGAGGCAGTATGACCTCTGAAACGTTGGTAAACATGGACCAGACTACACAGCGCAACAACCCAGAAGACGGAAATCTTCATACTCTGATGACGGAGGCAGTATGACCTCTGAAACGTTGGTAAACATGGACCAGACTACACAGCGCAACAACCCAGAAGACGGAAATCTTCATACTCTGATGACGGAGGCAGTATGACCTCTGAAACGTTGGTAAACATGGACCAGACTACACAGCGCAACAACCCAGAAGACAGAAATCTTCATACTCGCCACTGTGAAAACCTCAAATCTTACAAATTGAATTTTCTAATATCAGGTAACTACTTTTCAACATACAGAAAGATACAGTATTACAATAAATAGCTTACAGAAACGAAGAAATGTGCAACTGCGACGAGAAGAGCAGATACAGTTCGTTAATCTCTTGGTGAATGCGTACTCCTATCAAGAACAGAGGCAAGCCCGCGCTTAGTTTCCTCAGGGTTTATTTCTAACTGTCCCTAAGCGTTCTGTTCGTGACGTCAAGCAAGTAAGTTAATTACATATATATATATATATATATATATATATAATTAGTAAAGTTAAGCTGACAGACATCTGTTATGTTTTGCAGGTAACGTGTGTTCTGACATCCGGAAGAACTGTACTGTGTGATGTTCACACAACCAAGTGGGTTATTTTACACTTGGACAACTATCTAGCTCAAACTGACTCCACGGAGCAGAGTCATTCTTCATACGCTAATAGTACGCTGAGCTGTTCAAAAATTTTCCCATCTTTTATGAAACCCCAGGTTATATTACCGTGATGGGGAAATACTGCCGTTCTCCGTCATGTGCAAAATCATTACAGTGCACCATTCATATCGTAGATTAATACAGTAACTGCAATGACACAAATGACGCATTCCAAATTAGCTCCATTAACTTTTCTTGCTATTAAACATTTCTTATATGGTTAAGACATCACACACTTAAAATCTTTCTGTACATCTGGGTTCAAGATACGGTACATTGGTTGATAAAAGCAGTTTTGTTTTAAGTTCATAACAACAAGAATAAAAACAAATGACACAGAATCATAACAAGAGAACCGAACAAGATTCATTAGACATTATTTGGTACCAGCAGAATTCGATGCAGATTCCCTACCTGGAAGTACAGGACAATTTTGCAGAGCGCAGTTCCCATGAACCAAGTCTCCGTCACATCCCAGACGACCGTCGGCGGGAGACAGAAGAAGATCACCATAAAATCGGCCACGGCGAGATTCACGATGAAGTAGTTGGTCACAGTTCTCATGCTGTGATTCCTATAAACTGCCACGCAAACCAACGCATTGCCTATCAAGCCGACGAAAAAGACGACAGTGTGAAATGCGATGAGGACCCACTCGTAAGCCGTGGGGAATATGTGATTCTCTATCATGTTGAGGTAGTCATCGTCAGATATGCAGTATTCATTGCTGCAGCTGTCTGTCGAGTTCTCGTCGTAATCAAGGTGATCCACGGGTACTGATGTGTTCGCCATGTCGCTAGAGAACACTGAGGCTGATGGGTAATCCGAGTGATCGGTGCTGGCATATTTCGATGACGATAAAGTCGGTATAAGTGACGATATGTTTTCCATCATGGCGGTGGAATTGGTGAGCACAGTTGCGAATAAGTCAGAAGGCAACATCGGCCCTGCTGTGCCTGGCAATATACCTCCGGTAACGTTAATCATATCGGATAAATCTTCGTTAATCTGTCTTCAGTAAGAAATTGTCAACTCTTTCTGACATGACATACAGCGTTCAGATATCACCATCTTCAATCGTCTTCAGCAATATTTGCCACAGGACGTTTCGGTACGCCTGCTGGAGTAAAGGTTTCGTTTTAATGTATTAAACCATGCGTTTAAAAGCACAGTATTAGATACGGGTGTTGAATATAATAGCGTGTTTCAGCGGATAATACCATACATAAACCGCCCAACTATACAACACAAAATTTCGGACACACTCCATATATATTTAACAGCATTGAAATCATACATCCAACAGCGTACGATATTCACATTGAAGAACGACAACTATACGTCACGATGGTACGTTGACTTATGCACCAGTTAGACTAACGGATATGATCTAAAACAGAAATTTGATAAGAAACATGGAGTCGATAAGAAAAAAAAAGTTAGTTTCACAGATTTTAACAAATCCCGAATTAAATGTTTCGCTTAAAATAAAAATCCTTGTAAGTTCACGTGCACCTAGTGCTGATACACATTTGAATAAATTAACTCAGTATTCTGCAGATGTTACTGTTCCAAAATGTTTGAATCTACTCTTAAACACCCAGTAATTAAAATGTGTAGGTCACTGGGAGATCAATACAATTCTCCTCGCTCATATGTTTACAAATATTGCAAATTCAATGTAAATTTACAACATAATCTGTAACTTTCTGCGTTATTCGTGATCAGTTACATTCATATTAAAAATTAGCTCCTTAAACTTTGTAAACAGGAGTGATCTAACAAGTTCTTCTCATCGTCTCTTCCTGCTTTTAAACTGAAGTTGAAACCTTCCTTTCAAGAATAATTAAGCTGCTGTATCACTAACGAAAAAATTATGTTAACGTGTCAAAATATCGACAGAAGAAAGCTGAGTATTCACAACACCTGACACATTTAAAACGAGCAGATTACAGATGGTTTACGACAACACAGAACATATAATTTGGAATCAAATCCCGCGAGGGGAGGGTTGCTTCCGATGCCTTGCGATGCGTAGTCCCTGAACGTAGACGAGCAGTCAGTTGGGTACAGCGTCTGCCGAGAGCTGGCAGGCAACTGAGTGTCTGCTCGCCGGCCTTCGCCCTACCGAGAACATGGCGATCACTTCCGACTGCCGACATGATCTCGGATTTATGGAACCAAAAAGCTACATTTCAGCTGTTAAACCAAACCTCGTCAAACAAATATTCAAGTATTCGTTCCGTACCACAAAGAAAACACCATTACAAATATCAATTGGTTAACGCTGTTTAAAGAAATAATAGGTGTTTGCAGTGATACGAAACCCACAAATACAAAATAAAAAGTTAGTGAACGCTGAAGCAGATCGGAAGTATAGTTACCATGGGCCTTGAAGGGTTAATGTAGGAACCTATGTTTTCAAAATAAGCACGTGTGAAATTTATTATAAGTAATGTCTGGTTGCTATCGATTCGTGGCATCTAAAGTATCTAGAACACAAATTGAGGGCAGGATTTCAGGTTTTCATGAAGGTGAGCCCGTAGATGGATGTCTTCTGGGTTGTAGCTCCTTGTAGTCTCGTAGAAGTTTACCGACGTTTCAGATGTCCTTGCTGCCTCATCATCAAAGCCATGACGGCACTATCTCGAGTTTGGTTCATTCACATCCCAACCTCACAATTTACCTACCTATGATCGATTTAAAAATAAATCATCCTCAAATTTCCTTTCCATCATCCATGTTGGCGATTCTTAAGAGGATTCTGTACAAAATTTTGTAAGCATTCCTAGTTTCTCTCATCCCAGCCACATTTCCAACCCATCGCAGCCCCTTAAAGTCACAAAACTAATAATTATATCCAATCTGGTATGATCGATTTAAAAATAAATCTTCCTCAAATTTCCTTTCCATCATCCATATTGGCGATTCTTAACAGGATTCTGTACAAAATTTTGTAAGCGTTCCTAGTTTCTCTCATCCCAGCCACATTTCCAACCCATTGCAGCCCCTTAAAGTCACAAAACTAATAATTATATCCCATCTGCTCACCTCATTCATTCCCAAAAATCAAATCCTCCACTTCCCCAAGAAATTTCTTTTCAGATACTTTAAGTTTGTTTTTCATTCAAAGTAAGAGGCACGTCCATACAAAGTAACAGGGAAAATTACGTTTTACATAACCTAATTTTTTTTGGCGTTTTTGGAAACTAAAGGGGGTTATAGAAGCTTCTGGACTGAATAATAATAATAATTACTTTTTTCGGAAATTACTTTTATATTTTCATTACGAATATCACTTACGTTTTTTTTTAAGTTGGTCCCACAAAAGTTTCTAAATATTTTCAAATGATTTATTGGGACTTTGTTTTCGATTTTGTTGTCGTGTCATGATCTATACTTTTTATTTCATTTTTTGTGTTTCCTTTCGCAAGTATTTCTTTCCTACCTGACTTGAGTAGTCACGAGTTATTCTTTCTTGGCAAGTTTACAGGAGAGTAAAGTAAACCCTGATTTAGGACACACATTTTCAGACCTTTCTCTTTCTATTGAACTTTCCGAATAACATTACAGAAGAAATTTAATGGCGATAAAGTAATCCTTTGTTTTATCTTCTTATGACCTGGAAAAGCAGTAGATAAAACCAAATGACTACATGACGCAACAACCCACAGGATAATTAATTCTTAATTCCCATCACATCTACAACGTCAAAATCCTAAACAAATAATGTTTTTATACAAACTATTACGCACTTCATGTACACACACGTTAATCAGTAAAAAATTTCCTGGGTATTCCGAATTCAGTTAATAATTCTAAATACCTGATAATTATCCATTATTTTCCCATATTTCTCCGAGTCCTATCGAACTCAAAACAGTTACGGGTGATCCAATATTTACGATTATCAATAATTTAATTCATGGATGATATTGGCCATGCATATGTGTGTAAAAGCAAACAAGCTGCCTCAAGCAAGTGGCGGCGAGTATAAAAATTAGTCCTCTGGGATGTTGCCCCGTGTAGTCTGTTACACAGTTACCAATGTTTCAGAAGTGCTTACTGCCTCCATTATCAGAGCGACTACAAAATTCTGCATCTCAGAAGACAGTCATCGTCTTAAGTGTAACGTACTCATCTTAAATCACTGAAAAAAATGTAGTCTTGCCATTTACAGACGTGCGAAAGAATGCCAATATTCACTGATTAACTTCCAGAATGTTCTAAGTTCATATTTCACTTCAGACATCGTACATTTTAAATGTCGAAACAAGAACACTACAGGCAGTCAGTTTAACACACTCACTTCCCATCAACTGCAGAACCCTCATTGAACAAGCGATAGCTTCAGTGTGTGTTACACGTGCGCATTGATGATAGTCTTTACGTCATAATTTGTCTGCAAAGCATACAACAGCTGTTAAACAGCGAAATCATCTCATCACAGTAAAATATTCTGTGTCAAGATTAAACATGTTCCAGTGACATGCCACTTTATTAATTTTAAAAACTCAACATTCCATACGTGCCAAAATTCCTTCTCGGAATTTTTGTACTCCTGAATTTATTTAAATTCTCTTCGCATGCCAGAGGTGGCTCGTGTGTAGCAGACTGCAAGAGGGGTGGGTGTACTGCCCGAGTAAAAAAAGCCTCCGCTACCAAATAACCTGTATTATTTAAAAACGACAGCCTTCTGGAATATTATAATCTCGTAGAAATCGCCCCGACGATGGAGACAGTAAGCACCTCCGAAACGTCGGGAAAATTCCTACCAGACTACACGGCGCAACATCCCAGCAGACAGACATCTTCGTACTCGCCGCTGTGAATACCTGAAAACTCTTTTGCTAAACCAAACAACAGGGAAAAGAACAAACATCTTAAATCGTTGTGAGAAGCCGAAAGTTCATCTCACCGCCAATGGCAAATTATTCCAAGATGCGTTGGAACGAGATGAATGGAAGTCGCGATGATTCTGTGGATCTCAGTAAGATTGTGCGCACATCGTCCCGCGCATCTCCCCGGTCGACAATTCTCGTATGCTCATGCTCCCCTTCCAGAAGTTTTATATTGACCGTCGCGTCGTGGCCAATGGTCAAGTTAGCACATCTGTTTCGTATGCTACAGGTCCCCAGGATTCAGAACGTTTATCCCTGTCACCGGCTATCCTGAATGAGGTTTTTCGTGGTTTTCCTCAGTAAATCCAATCGAATACTGGGATGGTGTCTTAAATTAGTTCGGGACCACTTCCTTCCACGGCCATTTAAATTCATAAAACAGTCGGCGTAATTAAACTACAAATTACAACAGAGGTGTCATCAAGGTGGCGAGGAGTACCTATCGTGACGATGTCACGTGTCCAATTTCGGCTTCTGGGGACGAGCCTCGTTGAACGCTGAAAAGATGAAAGTTATCTAACGTCTCCCGAAAACCTCTCTTTCATACACAACTGCAATGTTTGTCGCAGCGTTGGGCAACTCGTCCTCGAAAACCAAAATCATGATCGAAGTCTTACATTGATCCCCAATCACGAAAACCCAAAGACAAGAATTATGTTATTATAATTTAGTTCAATGTGAACTATATATATATATATCATTGTGAGATTTCAGCCCTGAAGATGGAGACAGTGTGATTCTCCAAAACGTTGTTGTCTACACAAAACAGAAGACCAACATCCACACCACCTTTCAGCTTCGTCGTATAACACAGCCCTCAGAGCCCTTCGGTTAGTTAACACGCGCGGATGGGGCAAGCCTACTGATTTGAGCCAGAGAGGGGAGGTACCAGAGGGGAGAACGAACCCGACACATCAATTTTCTAGTTTAATTAATGAGAACTGCGCTAACAAAGTTAATAGTGACAGTAATCATAATTATGCCCATCATGGCTAAATGCGTGGGTCATTGTTCACCTCTCTCTCTCTCTTTTTAGTGTTCTGTCTGACGACAGGTCCATATGAACAGGATCCTTCCATCCTTTTCTCGGACTGGGACCTGTTCATATACGTTCTTGGCAGATGATCCAGAAGTGGTTTGCCATTGCCTTCTTCTGTGTGTGAATGGAGTAATTGTTGGGATGCCACGGAGAAACCGGGGAAGCCCCCGGAGGAAAACTCCGTGTTGCCTAGACCACGGCCTTGCTCAACACAAGTTATAAATTCGGGCACCGCCGGGAATCGAACCCGAGACTCCAGGATTACAAGGCCAGCGTTCTAACCGCTAGACCACCGTGGCATTTGTTCACCTTATACATGCTTAATTGACAACGGGAATCGTGGGTTTGAATTATATCCGGTGCATAATCATTCTACACGATTTTACGTCGTACAAAAGTGGCAGATATTTCGCGACGGACTTATCTGTAATCCTAAAATTACTACCATGATAAGACGGGAGAAATATTAATAGCAATGTAAAAGTCATCATCGAATTGTATGCTTTAGGGTCGAAGCAAAATTGTACAACGTTGCAAGCTGAAGAGCGAAACCGAACTCAGAACTCGCAGCGTAGAAAACGTTTCGAACGTGTCTTTCAAATGTACTGAGACTGGGGGATTAAATCTATTTCGCTGGTATGAAAGCGAGTCTTCGGTCGCGGGCAACATCAAAACGTATATTTCAGTACAAAGTGTGGAGTTACTGGTTTCCTTACATTCCACCGGTTCTATTCTGGTTCATTTTCAAGCGAGAGGAATGTTCAATGAACCGACACGTTGCGTAACAGATTGATACAGAGAATTCTATCAAAACGTCGCGGCTGTTCGCATTGACAAAGCCTTCGACTTGACATTTTAAATCCTGACCTAGCGATTTAGGACCACTGAAGTCAAGTGTTGTGATATCTCAAATTCTAATGTGGTGGAAAGCATTTTTATGTAGTCCGGATATTATGCGTTCAAAAGCGGTTCAAATACGTAGACCTACAAATGTCTGACGGAACTAAATATATGCAAAGTAGGATTTTGAGCTTCTCACGGCGGTGAGTTCGAAGATGGATGTCTTCTGGGGGGTTGTAACGCCGTGAAGTCTGGTAGAAGTTTACCGACTTTTCAGATGTCCTTGCTACCTCCATCATC